ATGGGAATTTTATACTAATGAAGGAATTTTTTTTCTTTTTTTTTCTCTCTTCGGAGGGGGAAGCGAGCTGGTGGGGAGGGGGGGGAAGGGAGAAAATTGTGGCAATGAATGAATGGAAATCCAAAACCTCTGTAAAAAAAATAAAAAAATTATAAAAAAAAAGATATCAAAAGATGAATTGCATTGGGAAAATCTGCTGTTAGGGACCTCTCCAGAGTACTGAAAAGCAAAGAAGACTCTCTAAAGACTATGGTGAGCCTAATCCAGGTCATGATCTTTGCAATTACTTGTTATGTTTCAGAGTGTTGGGCAATGACTCAGGATGACAGAAAAATCGATGTCTTCGAATTGTGGTGCTAGAGAAGAGCCTTGTAAATACCACGGACTGCCAAGAAAACAAATACGTCTGTCTTGGAGACGGTGAAACCAAATTTTCCTTGGAGGCTAGGATTTTGAAGCTCTATCTCACATACTTTGGACATGTGGCCAGGAGAGACTGATCCTTAGAGAAGGACATCATGCTTGGAAGGGTGGGGGGACAATGCAGGAGAGGAAGATTCCAGATGAGATGGATTAATACAGTGACTGGAACAATGGGGGGTTTTGTGTTGTTATTAGTGATACTGGCTCAGGACAGGGCAGGCTTCAGAGGTGCTGTACATAGAGTCACTATGGGTTACAGGTGACTTAATGACACATGACACATAACAACAATAACAACAATGAGGACAAAACTCACGCTGTATCTCCATCCAATAGACTTCTGATATTTATTCACTCTCACTCTCCTCCCTATTTCAGGTAAAGGGGTCTGCAAAGGCAAAACAAAATGTTATCAAGGCCAAAGGTATACTCTACAAAGGATTTGTACCTCTTTATCACTTAACTGAATAATGGCAATATTATTTCTATCCTAATTTTTACACATGTGTTTTATTCAGATTCTTATTTTATATAAAAATTGGTACCAAAATTCATAGCAGCAATTTTAACTACAATATTAATTGGGAAATCACAATTTGATGTTAGGAAAGTTTGATTCTCCTTTACAAAAATTCCAAGTTCAACATAATTTTTAGATTTTCCAAAAACTTTGGGTATCTAAAATGTTAGTTAAATGTAAGTCAACATTCCCGCACGGTAATGCAAAAAACAAAAACAAAACAAAACAAAAAACCATGCAAAACTCTTTTACAGTGTCCCTCAGAAAACAAGTTTGCTGTTTAGAAGCTGTCGTTTATAGGGCAAAAAGAATCCATTAAAACTACAAAATCTTTTAAAATTAATCTGATTTGTAACATTTGATACTCATTAGTAAAACAAAAGTATTCAATCTTTAAATAGTTGCAGTAATCCACTCCCTGCCCAAACTGGAAAAGAAAAGTTTGTGGCACTGAAAATAGTTCAGTTAATCTGTATAGTTTTCAAATACAGTATTTTAAAATTTTCCTTTAGGGCATAGTGAAGTAAAATTCTTTTGACTTTTGCTATATTCATACTAATGTTATCTCGAGAAAGTGAAGTATTCATGCTAAAGGGAAAAAAACACACCACAAACCAGGAATCAGTGCTTAGCAAATTCTCTGAAAATGTGTTATGAAGCATAACACAACGTTATGGATGTTAGCAGGAAAAGTGCCAATTAAACTGCCTCTCTTACTCATCTGTCAGAAAATACATCACCTCTGACAAGTATTTCACTTCTACCTGTCATTGGGAATCTAATGGCCTCAATTCTCAGAAGAAATGGTTGGTGAGGAAAAAGAGTATTTATTATGGAATAAAGCAGGATTAAAACAACATTACTCTCCATGGAAACAGACAATCAACAGGAAGTACATAAGAATACACATCTTTTCTTAGAAATATAGAATATTAAAATTTGTGAAATTTCCACATTGAATAAAGCCTTTTTATGTATAAATATTACATATATAAAT